TGTTTGTCCCTGAGGAACAACCATGGCATGCACCCTCTGGCACATGGCAGGTTACCCCAGGTGGGATAGGGGAGGCTGGGGTCACCAACTGTGCTTACCCCAGCAGCCTTACCTGGGGTCCTGGGGGAGCTGCAGCTGGGAGCGTGGCTTTGGCCAGCCAAGCTCTGGTATTGGCTGGCATGTGCTGCCACCATGTGTGTTGCCCTGCTTTTTTTTTTTTGACATGGGGTCAAGATGTGCAACTTGTTTTGGGAAGACAAAAGGTAGAAAGATTTTCCCAGTCATGGCTGACCCTGAGACAGAGTAACAAAGACACTGTAGCAAGCGTGGCATCTGAGGAAACAAGTCTTAGCGATGCAGCAGGAACTTTCTGGTGTGACAGGACAGCAACAAGGCTAGGCCCCAGATCCTTGCAAGAGCACTAATAAAACTGTTACTTCTTTAATGTAAATAGTTCTCTATATATAAAGTTCCTGTCAATAATAAAGTGTTGGTTCCACACCACAAGCCTCGTCAAGATACTATGAACTGCATGCACCAGCTCACTCAGTCAGCTTACTGGCTCTTAGGGATGTAAATACTGTTAAAAAAAGTATCCGTTTAACCTACTCTAATTAGACTGGTTAAACGGTTAACTAATACAGCAGCTTAGACATGACTGCTACTGGAAGGTGATCCCCAGGCTCTTCGTGGGACGGTGGTGGTAGGTGGTAGCAAGCCCAGCCAGACATCAAAGCCCACATAAAGCCCTGTGCTGGGGCACCTGTGAATGAGCAGCCTGCTATTTTCCTCTTAACCTTGTAGGAGAGAGGAGTACTAGTCCCCACTCACCCCTCTCCACCCTCCTCCTTGCTCTTCCCTTCATCTCTCCTGCCTGCCCTGCAGGCTTCCCGTTACTGCTGGGGCACCTCATGGCTTCCTTTCCTCCACTTACCTGACCAACTGTGCCCAGCCCCATGCTACAATAACCAGTAAGTTAAACAGTTATCACTGGGCTTATCAGTTAAATGATTAATTTAACCTTTCACAGGCCAAAAGCTACAGCTTCATCAGCAGCTGTGGGAGGACTAACAGTGGCATCTTCCCCTGCTGTTTGCAGGGCCACGGAGAAGTGCAGTTATGAGTTATAGTATCCGCTTGCTCTATTCCACCATGCTTCTATTTCAGTGAAGTAAACACAGTTCTCCCTGCTTATGGCAGGCACCCTAATTTTGGAGTGTTGACTTTAGGAGAAGGCATGTGTGAGATAGGAGAGTAAACACTGCATTAATATTTTTCACTTACTAATAGAAAATTTGGTCTATGAAATCATGTCTTTGAATTTTGTCCAAAAGTAAGTACAGGGCAGGCAGCTTCTGCAATAGGCTCCTTTTGGCCAAAACTACCAACTGGACAGCAAGCCCTACTGTCATGCATTTGAGTCATATTCAAGGTTATTCTCAGGCTCAATACATTTTAAAAATATAATATGGAGCTTATATACGTATAGGTCACTGTGGATGGGTTAGGCTAAAGCCAGAAGAAAATCTGCACTGCCTTCTTGTCAAAAGCAAAAGGAAGATTTTTGGTCACCAACATTACCTGAGAATTTGGGAGCAACTAACAAAAAACCCATGATTGTCATATTTATACAAGGGAGAAGGTAACTTCCTTAATGATTTGACAGATACCATCCTTGTAATAGTCTCAGCATCCCTAAGCTCATCACAACTGAGCTTTATCTAAATCATTTCTACCCAAAGCATAAATGTTAGTGAGGCTTGGAGAAAACAAAACCAAATACAGACTGGAGAATGATTAGACAGGCTGCAACACTACAGAGAAGGACCTGGGGTTTTAGTGGACTATAAGATAAATATGAGCCAACAGTGTGCTCTTGTTGCAAAAAAACCAAGCCAACAGCAGCATACTGGATTGCATCAACAGGAGTATCATTTATAAATCAAGGTAAGTGATTCTTCCACTCTATTCAGCACTGGTGAGGCCTTACCTGGAGTACTGCGTCTCATTTTGGATCCCACACTTCAAAAAAGACGTGTACATATTGAAGAGAGGCTAGCACAGAGCAATAAAAATGATTAGGGGCCTGGGAGGGAAGACTTACGAGGAAAAGCTGAAAAAACTAGGGTTATTTAGTCTGAAGAAGAGAAGACTGATGTGGGATTTGATAATAGTCTTCAAACACCTGAAGGGTGATTATACAGAGGATGAAGATGAAATTTCTCTGGGGCTGTAGGACGCAAGGCTAGGAACAATGGCCTCAAGCTGCAGTAGAAGAAATTTAGATTGGAGATTAGGAGGAATTTTCTGACTATGAGACTGATCAAGCGTTCGAACAGTTTACCTGGAGAAATTGTTGAATCTCTGTCTTTGGAAATTTTCAAGAGCAGGTTAGGCAAACACTTGGCCAGGATGGTTTAGCCAGGAATGGTTCAGCCTTAAGCAGGAGACTGGACTAGATGACCTTGTGAGGTCCCTTCTAGTCCTGCTTTCCTATGAAATACCATCTTAGTTTGATTAGTATGAATCAGTGACTTTTATCCCCTCCTACTGACAACAATACAACCCACATTATCCTAGTTTCCTTCTCCATAAGTGTGAAATGCAAGGTGATAGAATTGATCTTTGTGGAACAATGGAGAAGCCTGATCCTGGGGCAGAAAAGTAATTGTCCACTGCTCTCTGGTATCTCTTTAAAAAAGACAGCAAAGCCACTCAACTGTGACGCCTCTTTATCCCAGCCAGTGTCTGGAAATCATTCAACCATACTGTCATAGTTAGTGATTTCATAAGCTGTTGCCTCTAAGACAAAAACCCCTCAACATGGGCAGCCTAACATAACCTATTACTACAAAGGCTCCGAAGACTCATAACAAGTAAAAATGGAAATCAGGGAAATGCCAAGTGTTCATCTGAGAACAAAGCTGCTTCACCCCTACCTTCTTAATAACTTTATATCAAGGAAGTACATAGAGAGAGATTTTGGCAGGACTGGAATTATTTGTACATTATGAGTTTCACCTCGAAAAAGGAAAAAATCTACTGAATCAAGGAAAAACAGAGGAGAGGGGAGTGGAAGGTGGAAACAGATACACAATTCCAGGGAAGGGGATGGGGCTCCCCCAGAAGAGCACTGTCAGTCTTATTTCTACCTGCTCTGGCAGTAACATAGCATATGCTATGACAGTGCAGGCCTGGCCTTAGGAATGTCCAAGCCCTTGGCAGGCTGAATGGACTTGCCTAAGGAACAAAAGTGAAAGAAGAGAGACTTCTGCAACCTGCATGTTAGCGAAGGCTGAACAAAATTTCATAGAAGAAAAGGCCTGCTGTAATGTAAAGGGTGGGAGAGCTTCTCAAAGAAAAGGAGACAAAAATCCTTTTTAATGGAAAGCGTCAGGCAGCTTAAATATAAAGGTTACTTCCAGTTCCCCCTGCAATACATGGATGAATTTGCTTCTTTTCCACTGATCCATGATATTGTGTTAGATGTTGATCCTGTTTAAAACACAGCGCTTAACTAGACTGCATTGCAATGAAGTTTCCATAACAGCAGTGAAGTACTTTACTTATTAATTTAAGCAATGAGGATTGAAGCTGAAAACATCCCTCCTGCCTCCACAGTTCCCTGATCTATGGCAGCTCCCAGATGTTACATAAGTTATTATTACACCACGTACAATTTATTATATGCACGTCAGTAGAGAAACTCACAAGAAGAGAGCAATAAGATTAGGACAAGTTCTGAAGGCCACCAAGGCTTTCGTAAATAAAAGTAAAAGCTGAGATTAACTCAATTATAATACTTAAGGTATGTGAATTACAAAGTTGATGTGAAAGGAAGAACACACAAAAATAAAGGCAATAAATAAATAAATTTCACTTCATAAAAAAGTATGATGAGCATATGCAGGTGTCACGAGTGGTTTTCCAGCTTCACCAAAACATACAATAACCAAAACTGATACACAACCACAAGCTGTTCAGAAGCATAGTTTGCCCAATAACTTAGCGAAGTGGAGTATACTGACTTTTAGGAGAATTCTCAGAAGAATTCTCGAAAGCTAATTACGCCTCTCTCTCTTTTTTATTTCCCCCTTATTTAAATTAATAGTCCTTGTAGGGTAATATATGACGAAGTACAACGGAAATACACCAAGGTCCCACTAAATTCTAGAAGCAAGCATGAATGCCAAGTGCAGTGGTCTAACACACCCAACTAAATGATAGGGTGGAATCATAGGAATGTTGTATTAAAACAAACAAACAAACAAACAAACCCCACCCCTCCAGCCATATCATTATCTGATTAGCCTTGGAAAATAAAAGCACCTGATCTCTGCCATGAAAGGTTCACATGGATCTGCCAGGAAAGAACAAACCAATATGGCAATTTCTGACAACTGTTTTAAATTTTTAGAAATTCTGTTTCTAGATCCATAGGTCAGAGTGAAAAGAGATAGCTGTTGTTCTTTTCCTGTTCAATGATTTTTTTTCAAAAGTCCTGGATAATATGCCATAGTTTTTCAGCTATAAATTGCATGTTTTGGGAATACAACGCATTTATCATCATACTACTTCCCACTTACAGCCACCCGAAATGGAATAGGCCTGGTGGTGAGAACCATGAAGACTGGCAGCAGAACTGGCCACACACAGAAAAAAGGACTCATTAGTTTATCAGAATTACAAGGAGATGGTATAAACGGTCCCACCAAATGGCATTTGCAAAGAGACTTCTGCACTCTAGTGATGCAGCATGATACAGGCAGTCCTTGCACTGACGGCGGGTTACGTTATTGGAAAAGGTGCTGTAAGTTGAGACAATGCAAGTCGAGTCTGATTTTCCCATAGAAACAATGTTATAATAGGGGGTTACGTTCCTGACCAAGGGCCTGGTGCCCAACTTTCTATAGAAATAACCATAAACACCATATTTAAATCAACTATTTAATCAACTATAAATGATATACACTGTACAGTACAAAGCTTTCTAAAGTGTACTGTATATAAATTGATTAAACAGGACAATACAGTAATTAATTACATAACATTTTATTTAATCAGAAGGTGAAGGAACACTTTCATCAGGGTCATGGAATACAAAAGGGCTTCTTTGGGGAGACTGAGGGCCACTTGATGGTTTTTTGAGAAGCTGATCCAGGGATGTTTGTTTTGCTGCCCTCTTTTTCTCACTGTAAATTTCCCTGTAATGCCGTAAGTGTGAGGATCCAGCGCCGTAAGTAATAACATGGGTGTAAATGGTGGAGCACCGCAAGTGCAAAACGCCGTAAGTCGAGGACTGTCTGTACTACCTTGTCCCCCATTCTTGAAGTTTTGGCCTTTCCTTCCCATTGCCCTCAACTTGCTCCACCCCATATGCAAGGGTGAAGACCAACATTCAATGCATCAGCATTAAAAGTCCTTTTTTCAGCTAGCTGTCAATTATTAATCATTTCCATTCACCCTTGAACAAAATCAAAACTTCATCATCAGCAAATGTTTGCAGAGAACAACTATACCTGATTACTCATAAAGTGATTAAGAAATTATCAGCAGTAAAGAATCTCCAGTTAACTTGGAAGAATTAAACTTTGGTCAGAAAAAAAGGATACAAGTCAAAGTCCTGGTAGTTATTCAAAAGACACAGCATTCTCAACACAATCAGGTTAATGACTGATATGTTTTCTGGTATTCCTAATGGAGCAAAGCAGTATTCCATTCCAGATTCCTTCTTCTCTGGGGCACTTGTAGACACTTAAAACATTAAAAATCATAATGATTTTCCCCTTGACTTGCTTCAAGCATAGTCTAACCATACACTTCAGTATAATAGCACCTCCTTTATCATACATTTTACAGGAATGGATACATTTTAAAGAAAAACTTTAGAAAGAAATACATCACTCACTGCAAAATCTATAATTGTAAACTCTTGTGGCATATTTTTCTCAACCCACAGCAACTGCTTTTAGCATGAAAACAGTCCTGAAAGATATGGAGTTAGTGCAGAAGCTGAAGACATACCTGTACGCCTGCAGCAAAAATATCTTATAAACGTTCATGAAAACTGTTCTAAGGCTGTTGATCTGGAATAAAACAAAAAAAAAGGAAATCTATACAGATATGCCCTAGAGAGTGTTCCCAAAAATGTGTACTTCATTAAAATTCTGCAACTTAAAATCAGGTACCAGGGAAATAAGATGTTATACCATCATTGAAAGATTCCTGATATCACATAAGCACTTATTACCGTAAAGACTCAGTTCTACTAACTTCTGAGCATGACTAAGCCACTTTCCAGGTACACACAGCATCTTCTTGAATTAGGTCATAAGCATCAAAACTAAAGACAATTAGAAGTGCTTTCGAACCATGAATCAAAATATTCATACACACCTATTTTTAAATTCTTACCTGTAAATCCAGAAATAAACTATGACATTTGAGCTTCAGAACTGTGTTCAGTTTGGATTTCATATTTTTCCCTGCTGTTCTGCTTGAATTGAAGACAAGACTTGACCTGATAGAAGTAGACGCATAACTGCAAAGAAAAGAGGTAAGGCATTAACAAAATGGTTTTAACATGTTATGTGACCTCATAATCCTTTTTTACCAGTTTATTAGTCACATAAATTGCAAGCAACAGATTAAACTACTCAGAACACTTTTTTCCCTTGGTATAGCAGCCCTTCTTATCTCCCTTACGTACTCTGACTACCATGGTCATTTTACCTATCTGCTCACCCTGTATCAGGTTGTACTATTTAGTATTATTTCAAGCATGAGTAGAGGTCCCAAGGCAGGGACTCACCTTCTAGTGGGAGTATTTTTAGGTGGGCTCTCTGAGACCTATTCTTGAGATTTAATATAATTATTGACAAAGACTTCAGCTGTTTTTTTCCCCTCAATGCACCAATAGCTTGCAAGTCACACACTCTCTCTCACACATGCACACAACCAAGGAAGTGTTAAACAGTCTAAGAGATTACTAATACAGAATACACCAAATAAGGCAAAATATAACAATATATATCTATGAACAAAGAACACAGGCCATACTTTGAACACAGGCTGTAATGGATATATAAACCGGACAATCCAGCAGAAGTAACAAGCTTACATTATCTCTGTATACAGAATTAGGTGGACTACTGTAATATGCTATAGTGTCTGTACTTCTGAAAAGATTGACAAAAATTTAAGTGGTTCAGAAAACCGTTATGAAGAGTCCTGAGATCTAGAAAACCTAACTTTACAGTGAAATGCTTTATATAGATTAAGCTTTAAGCTTAATCAAAATAGAAGGTTACAAAGGTGTTGGTCAATGTCTACATATACCATTATGAGGAGATTTCTGATGGCAAAGGGGTTATTAATTTAGCAAAGGCATAGCAAGATCAAATATCTATATTTGAGCACTGCCCAGGGCTCTGAACCTAGAAATGAGGTGAATCTCTTAACTGGGCTTTAATTCATTATTGTACCAATTTACCAAGGGATGTAATAATTCTCAGTGAATTAAAATCTTAATTCAAAATTGGATGTCTTTTAAAAAGATATGCTGGAGAAGAACCTGAAACAAGCTTATTGCAACAACAAATAGCCCTAAAATCCCATCTGCTTAAGCAAAGCTTACATATCAAGGAAACTCGTATGTAGCACCCTAATGTTCTGACACTTCCATCAAGCAGACTCATACAAGAATATAGGACTAGAAGGGATGTCCTAGATCCACTGAGTCTGGCCCCCTGTGATTACATTGTTTAATCACTTCCATAAACTGATCAAGCTCCATTTTAAAAGCAGTTCTAATTTTACCCCCACTTGCTCCCTGAAAAGCTGTTCCAGAACCTCACTGTTTTGATGGTTAGGACCCCCCTCTAATTTTCAGCTTGAATTAATTTCAAATCACCATATTCTTATACCAACATTGTCCTTTAGCTTAAATAGCTCTTCTCCTGCTGTTTGCTCTTCCATCCCCCTGTACTTACTGAGAGAAATCATTTCTTTGTTTGCTTTCTTAAGATTTCAATGCAACTGTGCAGATTCTCAGCAGGGTAAAGGAGCCCACGGTAAGGCAATCTAGCCACAGCAGAATTTTAGTATCATCAAGTTTAGGCTTGGCCTTGAGTATCTCTCCACCACTCTGTGGTTTATACTACACACATACCCTGAAAGAATAGTACTGAAGCTGATAAGATGTTTATTTTCACAGCTCACGCAAATTTAATCCAGTTCTACAATCTGTTCAGTCCTTGGCCTTTTTGTTAAGCAGGTGAGCTAGACACCAAACAACTCAAGTTGTGGGCATGGAGTTGTTGTAGTGTCCAACACATCTGCCCCATAGAAACTGAACTAAGTACTGGAAACCATGTGACCATCAGACGATAACAGCTGACATAACCTATGGTGTGACTGGAATAACAGAGACTTGGTGGGATAGCTTGTATGATGGGAGCACTGCCATGGATGGGTACAAACTGTTTGGGAAGGACAGGTAGGAGAGAAGAGGAGGAGGAGTTGTGCTATAATCTAAAAAAAGAGCTGTATGATTCCTCAGAGGTCCAATATGAAACGGGAGATACGCCTGTTGAAGGTCAGAAGGGAGAACAACAAAAGTGATGTCGTTATGGGTATCTGCTATAGACCACCAGACCAGGAGGATGAGGTAGATGAACCCTTCTTCAGACAACTACTGGAAGTTTCCAGATCACAGGCCCTGGTTCTCATGGGGGGTTTCGATCACCCTGACATTTGCTGGGAGGGCAATACACCAGTGCACAGGTAATCCAGGAAGTTTTTAGAGACCATTGGAGACAACTTCCTGGTACAAGTGTTGGAGAGACCAACTAGGGGCCATGCTCTTCTTGACCTACTGCTGAAATACTCAATGCCTTTACCTCAGTCTTCACAGGCAAGGTCAGCTCTCAGACTACTGCATCACCCAGCATAGTTTGGGGAGAAGATGAACAGCCCTCAGTGGTGAAAGAACAAGTTAGGGACTATCTAGAAAAAAAATGAACATGTACAAGTCCATTGGGGTGCATGCAATGCATTCAAGGGTGGTAAGGGAGTTGTCTCATGTGACTGCAGAGCCACTGGCTACTATCTTTGAAAACTTGTGGCAATTACAGGAGGTTCCAGATGATTGGAAAAGGGCATACATAGTGTGCCCATGTTTAAGAAAGGGAAAAAAAGAGTATCCAGGAAACTATAGATCAGTCAGACTCACCTTGGTCCCAGGAAAAAATCATGGAGCAGGTCCTCAAAGAATCCATTTCTAAGCATTTGGAGGTGAAGAAAGCGCTTAGGAACAATCAGCATGGATTCATCAAAGGCAAGTCATGCCTGACCAACCTGACTGCCTTCTATGATGAGATGACTGGCTCTGTGGATGAGGGGAAAGCAGTGGACGCGACATACCTCAACTTTAGTAAGGCTTTTGATACCGTCTCCCACAGCATTCTTGACGAATTGGAGGATTGGGCCAAAAGAAAATGTATGAGGCTCAACAAGGACAAGTGCAGAGTCCTGCATTTAGGATGGAAGAATCCCATACACTGCTACAGCCTAGGGACTGACTGGCCAAACAGCAAGTCTGCAGAAAAGGACCTGGAGGTTACAACGGACAATAAGCTGAACATGGGCCAACACTATGCCCTTGTTGCCAAAAAGGCTAACAACATACTGGGCTGCATTAGTAGGAGCACTGCAAACAGATTGAGGGAAATTATTATTCCCCTCTATTCTGCACTGGTGAGGCCACATCTAGAGTACTGTGTCCGGTTTTGGGCCCCCCACTACAGAAAAGATGTGGACAAGTTGAAGTAAATCCAGTGGAAAGCAATGAAAGTGGTTAAGGAGCTCTGGCACATGACTTATGAGAGGCCAAGGAAACTGGGCTCATTTAGTCTACAGAAGAGGAGTCTGAGAGGGGATTTAATAGCATCCTTCAAGTACCTGAAGGGGGATTCCAAAGAGGATGGAGCTGGACTGTTCCCAGTGGCGGCAGATGACAGAACAAGGAGCAATGGTCTCAAGTTGTAGCAACCGAGATTTAGGCTGAACGTTAGGAAAAACTCTCTCATGAGGCAGATGGTGAAGCACTGAAACAAGTTAGAGGTGGTGGGATCTCCATCCTTGAAGGTTTTTAAGGGCCGGCTCGACAAAACTCTAGCTGGGATGATACAGTTGGGGATGATCCTGCTTTGAACAGGCAGTTTGACTAGATGATCTCCTGAGGCCCCTTCCAACCCTAATTTTCTATGATGACCTGTGTCAGATTTGAACTAGTAGATCAGAACGGGGTGAAGATTAACATAGCTCGTTTGGCACAAGAGTGTTCTAATACACCACACAAGAAGCAAAATTGTCAGATTAACTTTGCAGTGATTTTACCAATACCATATATTGGTATTCACCTGCATATTTCAGGTAGCATGTACTAATTTATACTAGAAAGTTTATCCAGCATCTACATTTACCTGGAATAGTCACAGTAAACCTCAAGGGTCTGCGTATCTAGTAATAAACCACACCACTGGAACATACGGCAATCTGGTAACTGTTTGAACTGGGAACATCCTGGGATATCATCATCATCAACTAGAAAATTCACCGCCATCTTACCAGAGTTTACTGAGAAGCCGTACTCAGGAATTCCTGCTGCCAGAGTCCTAAATCAGACAATAAGATGTTAGCTAAAATGAACTACAAGAGAGGTATTGTTATCCTGAAACTTGTCAAAAAAGATGCAAAAATGTTATAGCTACATGCTGGTGAAAAACAAACTCCAATTACTATACGTATTTGGGGTTATTGAAAACACTGGAAAGAACTTGCATGCAACAAGAGAAATTTGGGAAAAATGCAAAAGAAAATATTACAAAATACAAAGAAAGGTTGCTATAAAGCAGGGGTTGTCAACCGGGGGTATGCGGACAGGTCCTAGTGGGTACACGTGGACAGGCAGGGACGGAGTGCCACTGCCTCCCGGGAGCAGGGCCAGTGCAGAACAAGGGCAGCTGTGCCCTTCTGCAGGGTGGTGAAACTTGCACACGGCGGCCGCTGCTGCCACACACCAGCCCGGTGAGCTTCCCCATCCTCATAGAGGGGCACTGCTGCCCTCAGCCCAGCCCAGTGAGTTTCCTTGTCCCTGCTCCTGGGAGGCAGCAGCACTCTGTCCCCACCTGCCTGTGGTCCCCGCCTCCCTGCTCCATGTCCAGCTGTGTGCTAACCCCCCCCC